ATACTTTGTAAAGTCAATGCTTTACTAATTAATGGAGTTAATGGTCGACTAGAATAAATGGCTTGATCATTTATTTTAATTGATAAAATATTTGTATCCTTATTTTCTGGAAATTTTATTTCTCCTATTTCTGCTTTTCCAATAAGGGCATAAAGCTCATTTCTCAAGTTGTATATTCCCTTAAATAGACCGGCATCTCCAAGTAGAATGACACCTCTAAATCGTCTCTCTTCTGGATCTTGATGCCAGGCATCTTTCCATTAATTCAATTAAATCTTGTGGAATATTATTTGGAATTTTTGGGCGAAGACCATTAAGAATATCTAGAATAAGATATTCATCATGTTTACGATCGGAAAATGGTCTGCGACCACTTATTACTTCCCAAATAATCATACCAAAACTATAAATGTCCGAATCTTCTGTAAACTTTCCTCCTTTTAGCAACATACGGAATAACTCCATATATTGAATTCTTATCTGATGATTCATCTACTGGTTTACTTATTCCTAAATCTGCAATCGCTGGTTTATCTTTTTCACTAATAAGAATATTGCCACTATGAAGATCACGATGAATAATATTATGATTGTGTACTAAATTAAGTCCACCTGAAATTTTATATAATAGGTTTAATTTTTCTAACCAGGATAAAGTATTTACATTTTTATTTAGAAAATAATGTAGGTCTCTATTCTGTGCAAACGCTATAACTATTATGTAATTTTTTGTGTCAGGATGTTGCGTAATGCCAATATATTGTTGGAGTGCATCAACAGCATCATCACGATCTCCATTCTTTCTATCCTTTCTACAATGAAAATAGTATTTCAACTAAATAACAGACAAAATAATTTTAATTGAATGATTTACATAAATATAATCACATAAATATAAGTTGTATATAAACCTCATTTAAATAATCAGAATCCATTTTTTCCGAATTATTAAGAATTTTAAGAACAATATCATAATTTCCTTTTCGATTATATTTTTGCTTCTTAGGATTCCAACGATTAATAGGTCCATCAACCCATGTTGCTTTATAAATTACACTAAATCCTCCTTTAGCAAGGTATTCAATATTAGTAAATTGTCTATATGGAACAAATTCCAATTTTTTTTTATGTTCACGGTCTTTATATAATATTTGTGTCGATTCGATAAAGTCGTCTATTAACTTGTTTCCACTTAAGACTCGAAATGAAGTCCGATAACAATCCTTACATATAATGGAATTTTCATTATAGGGAATTTTTCTCAAATTACATTTCTTGCATATCTTCCATCTTTGATATTCTTTACGCCTAGAAACCAGTGAAACTGGATGTTTATTTTCTTTAACTGGTTTTGCATTATATTGTTGTTGTAAAGTGTTGATTTGTTTTTCACAATGCTGAGTAATTCCTGCATCATAAATGTTTGGCAAACTTATATTAGACTGATCTTGAGTAAAACATGTAGTTAATTCCATAGATAGATTATGATTAGTTTGATCCTCATCGTTTCGAGTAGTGCCTGCGGACAATTCTATAATCGAATTATT